GCTATATTTGAGTATGCCGCTAATGACCTTCGATGTTGACGCGGCAGAAAAGTTTCATAAATCCAAGAAATTATGATAAAGAAAATAACATCATGATGATAATGATAATAATGGTTCGTGCTTCTTTACGGAATCGTATATGCATGGTTTCTTTTTCTTTTGAATAATAAATCATATGAAACAATAATGACAACCATTTGTTGCTGCCTTGTTTGATAATCAAAAAAGACTAAAGAAGTCATGAAAAATATATAAACTTCGTTTCACTGCCAATTTTGGAACAATGTGCCTTAACAAACTTCACTGATTGTGAACATGATGTGACTAGATTATCAATTAGCAAAAAGTATGTTTTTTTGAGAACTGAGCAATATGCTGTCACCTTTAGTAACTATTACAACCCTAGAATCCAGATGATATTTCTTTCTCTTATCCGTCATTAGTCGTTAGTCGGGGCGTCGGATTCCTCCTAACTGGGGCGTTGGGGCCAGCCTTCGGAGAACCATAGAAGTAAGGCAAGAAACGCATGTAATCATGTCAAACCCATTTACTGAAAGGCGCAGTGTGGCCAACCCGAGAAAGGCTCTGTTCTGTTCTCCTTTGAACTCATTTATTGGATTTATTCATTATTATATCTAATAATTTTCACTGTGTCAGTCGATGATCTCCTGTAACTGCTTTTTTATTTTTTTTTTTTTTTTTTTTTTTTTAGTGTTTCGGCCTTTGCATTTTGATTGATAAAAAACTATCAGATGATCATGCCTATCGGAAAATAGGATCAGGGTAATTGTACACCAGAGTAAGGTAACGTTTTATTTGCATATACAAATAAACTTTTTCTTCAAAATAACATATGTAAGTACTTGTAGTAAGGAATGTGATTTCAGAAAAATACACTCTAAGACTTTCACTCTAATATTGCGTCGCATAAGAGCGATGGTAGCGGGAGCGAGAGCCGGTGCTGAAGGCCCGAGAACTGGCTCCTTCCCAATCCGCGAGGGAGTCCTTCGCATCCTTGTCCTCCCACCCGCCAGCTGTGTCCACGTGGGGCTTCCTCTCGCTGCAAAATCCCCTTGCGCTGTAGCCGCTTGCTCTCTTCCTGCAGGTGATCGTCAGGATTCCGTCCGAGGACAACACGCAGCTGATGGCGTCTCGCTCGACGAGCTCAGGCAAGGCGAAGCGACGCACGAAGCTCACTCGGGACACTCTGCCTCCGTCCTGCCTCTCTGCTTGACCCTCCACCAGCAGCTCCTTGCCCTTCACCAACTGCACTGTCACGTCGCCCTTCATGAAGTCAAACACGTCCATCACGATCTGAAAAGGTAGAAAAAAATTATTTAGATAACTAGCTATTCAGTCTTAATTGAAAGAAGGATTCCAAATGTGATATAAAACAGGCTTTAGTAAGAAGCAGTTTCACACCCACCTTGTGCGAGTCCTGATCGTCCAAGATGCCAACAGCCTGATTTTCCAACTTGAGGTCGCGTTGACGCAGACGTCTGTAGTTGTGCATGGCGTCGCTTCGACAGGTCCATTCACTGGCCTTTTCCAGCACTTCTCTCACCGCCTGGCTGAAGCTGTTACGGACATTTGCGAAGCAATAGTCTTCAGCAAACACACCTCTCCTCTCTATGTGCAAAACCCTGGTTTCCATAGAAAGGCTTGGAATGTTATACTTGAAATCCTTACTGCTGTCATTTGTCATCTTTGTCTCCTTGTTGAACATGTGTCCACCTTCAAACTCTTCGTCATCGTCTTGGAAAGTGACTCGGTAATGGTTATTGGATTGTTTGGCAAAAGCTCTTAATTCCTCGTCATCAGAAGATGAATCTCTCTTCTTCAGATATTCCTCGGCGAGACGATGTCCATTTCTAAATTTCCTTGAAACCGTTGCCTCGACATCGTCCATGTCTTCTACATCAATCGAAAAATGTTTTCGATTATGGCCCTCCTGCGGAACACAAAGTTATGTATATTCTTTGATGCGATTGTTTCTAGAATGTATTCTAGACAAACGCCTCTGTATGTATATTGAACATGTTGTGTGTTTGCAGTTCTAGTTATGTCTATTCTCTTTACTCCCTCAAATAAACACAGTACTGGACACAGAAACTTTCCTATACATATTTATATAACAATATATTCGTGTATGAACTTCCGAACGTATATACAGATAACCTACCTTCTTGGAGCCAAAATTTTAAGCACACCGTCAGAAGACATGACTGAAATGACAGCCTCAAGCTCAATGTCTCCAGGAACAACGAAGCGCCGAAGGAACCGCTTGCTGGACTTGGAACCGTCTTCCTTCTTCTCCAAGTGACCTTCGACCACCAACTCTCGCTCGTTCACAGCCTTCACGCTGATCTCTCCAACGTCCATAAAGTCGTGAACATCAATGACAAACTGAAAAAGAAGAAAATACATGACAAAGGTTCATTCAGGCAATGAGTTATCATGATGTTTCAAATAACATTTCTTGGCAGAGAAACAGATTATATAATTAGTCTATGTCTGTACCTTATAATGGCGTTCATCTTCCGAGGACGTCACAGCCTGAGTGTCTTCCCTCATATTTCGTGCTCGTAGTTTCCTGTAGCAAGTCATCTCGTCACCGCAGGACTTCTCTCCCCATCTGCTCAGGATTTCCCTAACGGCCTTCTGGAAATCCTCCCTTGTGTCTCGGAAGAAGTAATGGGAGAAGAAGTGTCCTTTCCTCGTGATAGGAAAAGATTTCTCTGTGAAGTTAGATAGAGAACCACTCGCCAAACGAGAGGACGTTCCCATAATTGCGTCTTCGGTGACGTTATACTTATTAGTTTCTTGAGACTCCCTGCCACTTTCTTGTCCAAAGCGTCTCAGTCTATCGCTGTCCTCGAAACTGCAATCAAGATAAGGCGTCTTTGTTCCCGACGTGAAATCTCGAGGGAAATGACGAGTTTCCTCGGACTGAGACGTCATATACTCGTTCAGTCCATTTTGGTTTTCATTCTTGGTCTCAAGCAGACGTTTTTCAGCAGGAAGTGAAGGTGATTTCGAGTGAATGATTTCTTTAGTGAGGCTGCGTTTTGCTTCAGTTTTAATGGAGTTTTCAGCAGTATTTGCCTCGACATTTCCTTCCTGCAAAACAATAACTTAATACAATATTTGCGTAGTGTTTTTTTTATCTTTATTCATAGGTGATTACTCCTAGCAAAAGGTATATCAATAATAGGACTTGATTAGAACATACCTTAAACATCACAGTGACTGTGAGGATGCCATCTAAAGACATGACAGAAGTGATTTTAGTAAACTGTGGAAGAGAGAAGCGGCGTCTGAAGGAGTGAGAGGTTTCGGATGAGGTTCCTTCTTCCTTCTTCACCACAAGTCCCTTGATGACCAACTCCTTCTCATCAACGACTTCGCTTGTACATCTCCACTCATGAAATCATGAACGTCCATAATTATCTGGAAATAATAGGTAGCTTTTTATACCTACTTTTGGAATGTTCTTTGAGGAATCATAGTAGTAATTTATTTAGTAATAATATTGATATTACTCAAAATGACACGAAAAGTAACAACAATAATGTCGACTAACCTTCATACAAGTGTCTGATGTGACGATAGCGGCCTGATTCTCTTCCCTCAGATCGCGAGACCGAAGCTGCCTGTAGCGTTCCAGGATATCGGTGTGGCGGAGGTCAGTGTCGTCCTCAAAGTTGACTTGATTGCACCTGCCCAACACCTGCCTGAGAGCGGCACTGAAGTCTCGGTGAGCGTCGAGGAAGAATGAGTCTTGGAAGAAGTTTCCTCTTTTGGTGATGAGCAAGAGTTCTTCTGGCGAATCTCTGTGAATCCTTCTTGTTCCTTTCAAGGATTCGATAGCTTCTGCAGACTCTTCTGCAATTGTCTTAGATGAAGTATTTGTATCTGTTGGCTGGATTCTTTGGTTTCAGTCGTTTCTTCTAGGTTCAGCTGCCCGACACTATCGACGGCTTCCTCTTCATGGGTACAATCTCTGGATAACTGAAAGGAATTTGTGCAACTCTCAATGGCTGCCGACTGAGTCCTTTTGCTGTCGAGTGTTTCCTCAGGGATTGTTTGGATTAAAGTTCTCTTGAACTGCTGAGTCGTTCTCATACTTATTTTGCCAAGAAAATTGTGCAAGTTCCTCGTCAATAGTATTGGACCTTTCTTGCACAGACACGGCATCATCAGTAACATCGAAAATGGTTGAAGGCTTTGAGTTCTGACCTGACACATTCTGAGCCTCAGCAACAGTTTCGTGTGAGTCTTTCCCCATCAAGAATGTCAACAGATTCCTGGGAATCTTGGAGATCAAGAATTTCAACAGATGAGCCTTTCACTTCAAGAATATCAACAGATCGCTGTGAATCTTTTACATCAAGAATGTCAATATCTTCCTGCGACTCTGTAAGATCAAGAATTTCAATAGCTTCTGAGCCTTTCACTTCAACAATGTCAGAAGATTCCTGTGAGTTTTTCAGATCCTGAATATCAATAGCCTGCTGAGAGTCTTCAAGATGAAGGACTTCTGCAGTTTCGGAATCGTTTTCATCTTCGGGAATGGCAGACAGAAGAGAATCCTGGGAGGAAGTTCCAAAGTCACGAGAGGCAGACAAATTGCCAGACGTTTCAGTCATGGCGATCGAACTTCGGCGACACAAGGAAGCATCTGAAATTCTGCAAACTCGGAGCAAGACTGCATTTCATCAGACACAAAAGTTGAAGAATCAGCCAGCCCTTTTGCAGGTACAATAGATTCTTTGTTGTCAATAGTTTCTTTGCTTTGATTTTCACTTTCTACAAAGTCGAAATCAGTATCATGACTCGATGTTGCTGCAGAATCAGTCAACAGGACTTCTCGTGCTGTCTCAGATTCCACGAGTGACTCATTTCTTCAGATGAGATCGGAATCTTTACATCTTCAATGCTCGTATCTTCTGCCACAGAGTCCATGCAGTCATGTGTGGCTTTGCTTTTTTTCACATTCCTCATGGAGGGAGATGGTTTCATCAGCTGGGAATAGCGAGCGTTGAACTTGAGAGGATTTTTGAACTTCCTCAACAGACCTGATCACTTTGTGTTCCTCCGGTTCTTCTGCCTGTTAAACAATTTAAATATTAGCTTAAAATTATACTTGATCTTATAAACAGAAACACGAGTGTGTGTGAGTGCGTACGTGAGTATGTGTATCAGGGAAAGAGGGTGCTTGTGAGTGTCTGCGATGTGCACGTTTTTATTTGTAACATCTTTTTGTATTCTTAGTAACTGACATTTTCATCTTTGTAACATATAGCATAAGTAATTGTTATCTCCAGATAATCCTTACATACCATTTTTGAAGCGCTGATTGTAAGAATGCCATCTGAAGACATGATGCACGTGATGGCTGTCATGTCAATATGCTCTGGCAAGGAGAAGCGGCGTCGGAAGGAGTAGGAGGACACGGATGAGCTTCCTTCTTCTCTCCTCTCCACACGACCCTCCACCACCACCTCCGTCTCGCCCGCCACCTTCACCTTCAGATCCCCGTTCATGAAGTCTTGGACGTCCAACACGATCTATGAAAATTTATGTATATTAAACAATAGCCATAATGCTTACATCTGGATATCATATTTGAATTAATAAATGTTCACATGAAGAACCCACATGTAAAACAGTTAAAAAAATATTGGGGTTTAATTGATCTTTAAAAGGCTTTAAATAAATTGTATTAGTAAGAGAGATTGTTGAACTACTTACCTTGTAACTAGTGTTGTCGGACGTGACGATAAAGACTTGGGTCTCTTCCTTCAATTCGTGGGATCGAAGCTGTCTGTAGCGGTCCAGGATATCGCTGTGACTAAGGCCAAGGAAGTCCTCACTGTGTGTCGCTTCGCTAACCCACTTCCCCAGGACCTCTCTGATGGCAGCGTCGAATTCTTGGCGGACATCGAGGAAGAAAGAGTCCTGGACGAAGCTTCCCCTTCGAACGATGGGCAAGATTTCCTCGCCCAGTTTGATGGCTTCAGTCGAATCAGATTCTGATTGCACAGTTGCTTGTTCCTGTTGTTCAGAAACTGAATCATCATAAGAGGCTTTTTCAACGACTGTCGATTCAAGAGTTTCAGCCAATCGCATGAGTTCATGATCCTGAATATTGGCAACGTCTCCACGAACAGAAGCAGTTGTAGACTCATCACAGACGGATTTTGGCAGATCTTGGACTTCAAAACTTCCTTGGATTCAGCAGGAAATTCGAATTCTTTCTTCAGCTTTCTCGTCTTGTTCTCGTAAGAGTGTTTTCGTTCACACCCAAACTCCATCTGATCCACATTAACAAGTTTCTCGTGAACAGAGATTTTTCTCCGTCGTGGACGAAACTGCTTCGGGTGTTGAGTCTTGAGCTGTTGATGATTCCTTCCTTTCTCGGTCGCGGAGAAGTTAACGAGTGAGTTTTGCTGTGGTTCTCCTGCCTGAATGAAACAAAAACAGGGTCATGTAGAGACTTGATATAATGTTACATTGCAGTGTGATTAACATTCAGGTCTATATTTTTAAGCATGATTATGTAATGTAAACATAGGTTTATTAAGTTATCTTAACATGAAAAGTAAGTTATTTACCGTTTTGAGAGCAGTTATTGTGAGGATGCCATCCGAAGACATGACAGAAGTGATGCGTGTCATGTCAGTGCTGTGAGGCAGGGCAAAGCGGCGCTGAAGGACCGTGTCGAGACGGACGACCCTCCTTCCTCCTCCGCGCGCCCTTCCACCACCAGCTCCTCGTCGACGACTTTCACCTTGACGTCTCCGCGCATGAAGTCATGCACGTCCAGCACGATCTATGAGATTGAAATTGAATTGAATTTGCTTTTTTTTAAGTTAATGAAAATATGGTCAAAATATAGTGATAGGACTGATGATTATCAATAATAACAATGTTGAAAGTGACAATGATAATAACACTAACAATGAAAATAATGGCATTGATAATGATATGAATATTGATAATTGCAATAATGATAGTAATGATAATGAAAGCAATAATGGTGATAATGAGAAAAAAAAGAAAGAAGCAGAATGAATCGGATAATGATGAAGCCCATAATAGTATGTGAAGATATTCTGCGACCCTCAGTGAAGATGTGCATATCAAGTATAGATAATCGTGTACCAAGAGAAAAACATCAAATACTTTGTAATCAATGAAAATATCTTGAATACTTTAGGCAATGCCGATGCTGATACACAGAGAGGGGACTGACCTTGAGGCTGGCACTGTCTGACGAGACGCAGAAGGCCTGGTTCTCTTCCCTCATGTTTCGAGATCGAAGCTGCCTGTAGCGGCTCAGGATGTCACTGTGACTGACATCGCCTGTCAGCGTGAGGTCGGAGTCGTCGCATTTCTTCAAGATTTCCCTGACGGAGGCGTCGAAGTCTCGGCGAATGTCGGAGAAGAACGAGTCTTGCAAGAAGCTTCCTCTCCTCGCGATGGCCAAGGAATCGTCTTGCGAACTGCCAAGAGTTTCCTTTGCTTCCAGCGAGTCGGAAATTCTTGTGGAAGCAAAATCTGAGATCACAGACGACTGCTTCTGTGATGATTGTTGGGTGTTGCTTGAGATACTGGAAGCTGCAGTTTGGGTCTTGTTCTCGTCGATCTTCTCCTGATGGCATCGTGTGGATTTGCGTTCCTCCTGTTGGGCTGTGTGGGACGTTCTCTGGCCAGACGACGCTTCCTCAGAAACTCCCGAGGTCGTCGAGGAAGTTGAGCTGTGAACTTCTGCATTGTGCGTTTCCTTGACGCTAATGGGGATGACAGTCGTCTTCTGTTGTGTTTCAGTCTCCTGTTGGTTATGATTGGCGTATTTACCATGCGAATGCCTTCTACATTTTAATGAAGTCAGTTTTATAACATCAGAAAAGCGTTGATATAGTACAAGAGGAGCTAGGACAATACCTTCTTGGTCACAGTGATTGTGAGGATGCCATCTGACGACATGACAGGCGTGATGGATGTCATGTCAGTGGACTCAGGCAAGGAAAAGCTGCGTCTGAAGGTGCGCGAGGACCCGGCCGAAAGGGCCTCCACCAGCAGCTCCTTCTCGCCCATCAGCTTCACCTTCACATCTCCATCCAAAAGTCATGCATGTCCAACACGATCTGTGACATGATTCACGTATCAGTAAACAAAACAAGTTTTTCATTCGCCATAAACGTAAGAATTATTGGTTATATTTTTCAACATAGATAAATTGGATAAGAGTGTAGTCTTCATGCTACTTACCTTATAACTACTATTATCCGAAGTGACTGTAACGGCCTGGTTGTCACTCCACAGGTTCCGCGATCGCAGCTGTCTGTAGCGGCCCAGTCTGTCGCTGCGGTGGAAGTCGTCATCATCCCAGAAGTCCGCCAGCTGGAGGTCGGCGTCATTCCAGCCGTTGAGGACCTTCCTGATGGAGGCGTCGAAATTGCGGTGTATACCGGAGAAGAATGAGTCCTGGAAGAAGTCTCCCCTTCGAGTGATGGGCAAGAGAGTGTCCCTCGAACCGCGGTGAAGTCTAGAGGAATCAGCTGTTCCTTTGGTCCCAAAATGGCATGAACAAGTTTCTTTTCGTGCAGAAGACGAGTGTTCTGAGTCTGTGCTAAGACTTGACTGTGTAGTTTCCGATTCGTCCTTTGATGCCATTTGTGTTCGAGTTTGGCTGACTTTCTCACAGTTATTCAAAGTGGAAGTCTGAGTGATGATATTTTCCTTTGTAGTTTCCGTTTTCTGTGAGGTAAAATTAACATTAGTATCAATATATATTGTTTTTTTACTTATACAACATTATTTTTTAAATATACAAATTGATTAGGAGAAAATCTTGACTCACCATTTTTGGCGCAGTGATTGTGAGGATTCCATCTGTGGACAGACGGACGTGATCGCTGCCATGTCTGTGTGTCGAGGCAAAGAGAAGTAGCGTCTGAAGGAGTGTGACGAGACGGACAGGCTTCCTTCCTCCTTCTCTCCACGTGTCCTTCCACCAACAGCTCCTCCTCGTCCAACACCTTCACTCTCACATCTCCTTCCAGAAAGTCATGCACGTCCAGCACAATCTGGGAAACAGAATTTATATGCTATGATTTTAGCTCTTTGTGGACTTGCTCTGCGATTTACACACTAGTTAACCGTGTCTTGTTTAACAGACAGTTGTTATATCGACTCACCTTGACTTTTTTGTCAGATGTGACTGTGACAGCCTGGTTCTCTTCCTTGAGGTTGCGAGATCGAAGCTGTCTGTATCGGTCCATAATATCCTCCCGGCGGAAGTCTTTCGCTTGGAAATCGTCGCCACTCCATCTGGCCAACACCTCCCTGACGGAGGAGTCAAAGTCCTTGTGTGTGTCCGAGAAAAACGCGTCTTGGAAGAAGCTTCCTCTGCGACTGATGGGAGGAACACACCCCACGCCCTGCTGCTTGACCTTGCCTGCGCGAGCACTTTTCGCGGGCGTGGAGGAGACTGTCACGTCGTAGGACTTTTCCATCTGAATGGGCGCCATTTTCAAAAGAGGAATATGTATACACTTGTGCTATGACTTGAGAGGAGATCGTTGGAGGTGCACGTGCGCTTGTGAACTGAAGGTAGTTGGGAGGACAGCAAACATATATACCGTTTGGCGAGTGCGAGCGTGTGACGTGGCAAGGGCGTCACTTGGCAGGAGCAGCTGTTGCGCGGCTGCCAAAGTCCAGAGATGTGAGTAAACAGGCGTGACTCGGGTCCAGCATCAGCGTTGGCGGCTTCGGTACGACTGACGCAGCATTGCTTTGCCAAACTGCTTAATCGCTGGATATTTCGGGAATTTCGCAAAAATCTTTTCGAATACGTTTATTTTTAACTTGATCTAAGTCATTTTAGCTGGAATTGTTTACATAAACGTAGATATACACATCCAAGTACGTGCACCCACATACATGTATATATAGATATATAAATATGTCATATATATATATATATATATATATATATATATATATATATGTATTATATATATGTGTTGTGTGTGTGTGTATATATTTGTATATATATGTATATATATATATATATATATATATATATATATATATATATATATATATATATATATATTATATATATATATATATATTATATATTATATATATATATATATATATATATATATATATATATATATATATATATATATATATATATATATATATATATATATATATATACATATATATATATATATATATATATATATATACATATATATATATATATATAATAAATATATATATATATATAATATATATATATATATAATATATATATATATATATATATATATTATATATATATATTATATATATATATATATATATATATATATATATATATATGTAAATATATATATATATATATATATATATATATATATATATATATATATATATATATGTGTGTGTGTGTGTGTGTGTGTGTGTGTGTGTGTGTGTGTGTGTGTGTGTGTGTGTGTGTCCCATATATATATATATATATATACCATATATATATATATATATATATATATATATATATATATAGTATATGTGCATATATGTATATATATATATATATATATATATATATATATATATATATATATATATAACTTCATTGATTGTGAACATGATGTGACTAGATTATTAACTAGCAAAAATATGTGTTTTGGAGAACTGAGCAATATGCTGTCACCTTAAGTAACTATTACAACCCTAGAATCCAGATGATATTTCTTTCTCTTATCCGTCATTAGTCGTTAGTCGGGGCGTCGGATTCCTCCTAACTGGGGCGTTGGGCCAGCCTTCGGAGAACCATAGAAGTAAGGCAAGAAACGCATGTAATCATGTCAAACCCATTTACTGAAAGGCGCAGTGTGGCCAACCCGAGAAAGGCTCTGTTCTCTTCTCCTTTGAACTCATTTATTAGATTTATTCATTATTATATCTAATAATTTTCACTGTGTCAGTCGATGATCTTCCTGTAACTGCTGAAGGTAGTGATGGGCAAATCGGTCATTTTTAGACCTGACTTATCACCATTCTTTTCTTCGCTTATCCCCCCCCCCTTTTTTTCTTTTCTTTTTTTAGTGTTTCGGCCTTTGCATTTTGATTGATAAAAAAACTATCAGATGATCATGCCTATCGGAAAATAGGATCAGGGTAATTGTACACCAGAGTAAGTTAACGTTTTATTTGCATATACAAATAAACTTTTTCTTCAAAATAACATATGTAAGTACTTGTAGTAAGGAATGTGATTTCAGGCGGGGCATATCACAAAATAATCGCTTATTGAGTACATTTTTTCTTTCTTTTTATGCATTTATAAATTCCTGTAAGGACTTTCACTCTAATATTGCTTCGCATAAGAGCGATGGTAGCGGGAGCGAGAGCCGGTGCTGAAGGCCCGAGAACTGGCTCCTTCCCAATCCGCGAGGGAGTCCTTCGCATCCTTGTCCTCCCACCCGCCAGCTGTGTCCACGTGGGGCTTCCTCTCGCTGCAAAATCCCCTTGCGCTGTAGCCGCTTGCTCTCTTCCTGCAGGTGATCGTCAGGATTCCGTCCGAGGACAACACGCAGCTGATGGCGTCTCGCTCGACGAGCTCAGGCAAGGCGAAGCGACGCACGAAGCTCACTCGGGACACTCTGCCTCCGTCCTGCCTCTCTGCTTGACCCTCCACCAGCAGCTCCTTGCCCTTCACCAACTGCACTGTCACGTCGCCCTTCATGAAGTCAAACACGTCCATCACGATCTGAAAAGGTAGAAAAAAATGTTATTTAGATAACTAGCTATTCAGTCTTAATTGAAAGAAGGATTCCAAATGGCATATAAAACAGGCTTTAGTAAGAAGCAGTTTCACACCCACCTTGTGCGAGTCCTGATCGTCCAAGATGCCAACAGCCTGATTTTCCAACTTGAGGTTGCGTTGACGCAGACGTCTGTAGTTGTGCATGGCGTCGCTTCGACAGGTCCATTCACTGGCCTTTTCCAGCACTTCTCTCACCGCCTGGCTGAAGCTGTTACGGACATTTGCGAAGCAATAGTCTTCAGCAAACACACCTCTCCTCTCTATGTGCAAAACCCTGGTTTCCATAGAAAGGCTTGGAATGTTATACTTGAAATCCTTGCTGCTGTTACTTGTCATCTTTGTCTCCTTGTTGAACATGTGTCCACCTTCAAACTCTTCGTCATCGTCTTGGAAAGTGACTCGGTATTGGTTATTGGATTGTTTGGCAAAAGCTCTTAATTCCTCGTCATCAGAAGATGAATCTCTCTTCCTCAAATATTCCTCGGCGAGACGATGTCCATTTCTAAATTTCCTTGAAACCGTTGCCTCGACATCGTCCATGTCTTCTACATCAATCGAAAAATGTTTTCGATTATGGCCCTCCTGCGGAACAGCAAAGTTATGTATATTTCTTTGATGCGATTGTTTCTAGAATGTATTTTAGACAAACGCCTCTATATGTATATGAACATGTGACACGTGTTTGCAGTTCTAGTTATATATATTCTTTACTACCTCAAATAAACAGTGAACACAGAAACATTCCTAACTATATTCATATTACAATATATTCGTGTATGAACTTCCGAACGTATACACAGATGACCTACCTTCTTTGGAGCCAAAATTTTAAGCACACCGTCAGAAGACATGACTGAAATGACAGCCTCAAGCTCAATGTCTCCAGGAACAACGAAGCGCCGAAGGAACCGCTTGCTGGACTTGGAACCGTCTTCCTTCTTCTCCAAGTGACCTTCGACCACCAACTCTCGCTCGTTCACAGCCTTCACGCTGATCTCTCCAACGTCCATAAAGTCGTGAACATCAATGACAAACTGAAAAAGAAGAAAATACATGACAAAAGGTTCATTCAGGCAATGAGTTCCATGATGTTTCAAATACATTTCTTGCAGAAAACAGATTATATAATTAGTCTATGTCTGTACCTTATAATGGCGTTCATCTTCCGAGGACGTCACAGCCTGAGTGTCTTCCCTCATATTTCGTGCTCGTAGTTTCCTGTAGGAAGTCATCTCGTCACCGCAGGACTTCTCTCCCCATCTGCTCAGGATTTCCCTAACGGCCTTCTGGAAATCCTCCCTTGTGTCTCGGAAGAAGTAATGGGAGAAAAAGTGTCCTTTCCTCGTGATAGGAAAAGACTTCTCTGCGAAGCTAGAAAGAGATCCACTCGCCAAACGAGAGGACGTTCCCATAATTGCGTCTTCGGTGACGTTATACTTATTAGTTTCTTGAGACTCCCTGCCACTTTCTTGTCCAAAGCGTCTCAGTCTATTGCTGTCCTCGAAACTGCAATCAAGATAAGGCGTCTTTGTCCCCGACGTGAAATCTCGAGAGAAATGACGAGTTTCCTCGGACTGAGACGTCATATACTCGTTCAGTCCATTTTGTTCTCATTCTTGGTCTCAAGCAGACGTTTTTCAGCAGGAAGTGAAGTGATTTCGAGTGAATATTTCTTTTGTGATGCGTTTTGCTTCAGTTTTAATGGAGTTTTCAGCAGTATTTGCCTCGACATTTCCTTCCTGCAAAACAATAACTTTATACAATATTTGCGCAGTGTAATTTTTTTTTTTTTATTCATGGTGATTACTCCTAGCAAAAGATATATCAATAATAGGACTTGATTAGAACATACCTTAAACATCACAGTGACTGTGAGGATGCCATCTAAAGACATGACAGAAGTGATTTTAGTAAACTGTGGAAGAGAGAAGCGGCGTCTGAAGGAGTAAGAGGTTTCGGATGAGGTTCCTTCTTCCTTCTTCACCACAAGTCCCTCGATGACCAACTCCTTCTCATCAACGACCTTCGCTTGTACATCTCCACTCATGAAATCATGAACGTCCATAATTATCTGGAAATAATAGGTAGCTTTTTAAATGGCAACCTACTTTTGAAATGTTATTTCGGGAATCGTGGTAGTAATTTATTTAGTAATAATATTGATATTACTCAAAATGACACAAAAAGTAACAATGACAATAATGTCGACTAACCTTCATACAAGACTTGTCTGATGTGACGATAGCGGCCTGATTCTCTTCCCTCAGATCGCGAGACCGAAGCTGCCTGTAGCGTTCCAGGATATCGGTGTGGCGGAGGTCAGTGTCGTCCTCAAAGTTGTCTTGATTGCACCTGCCCAACACCTGCCTGAGAGCGGCACTGAAGTCTCGGTGAGCGTCGAGGAAGAATGAGTCTTGGAAGAAGTTTCCTCTTTTGGTGATGAGCAAGAGTTCTTCTGGTGAATCTATGTGAATCCTTCTTGTTCCTTTCAAGGATTCGACAGCTGCAGACTCTTTTGCAATTGTCGTGGATGAAGTAATTGTATCTATTGGGTTGGATTCTTTGGTTTCAGTCGTTTCTTCTAGGTTCAGCTGCCCGACACTATCGACGGCTTCCTTTTCTTGGGTACAATCTCTGGATAACTGCACGGAATTTGTGCAACTCTCAATGGCTGCCGACTGAGTCCTTTTGCTGTCGAGTGTTTCCTCAGGGATTGTTTGGTGATTAAAGTTCTCTTGAACTGCTGACTCGTTCTCATACTTATTTTGCCAAGAAAATTGTGCAAGTTCCTCATCCATAGATTTGGACCTTTCTTGCACAGACGCGGCATCCTCAGTTACATCGAAAATGGTTGAAGACTTTGAGTTCTGAGCTTCTGACTCATTCTGACCCTCAGCAACAGTTTCCTGTGAGTCTTTCCCATCAAGAATGTCAACAGATTCCTGGGAATTTTGAAGATGAAGAATTTCAACAGCTTCTTCTGAGACTTTCAGATCCAAAAGTTCAGCAGCTGCCTCTGAATCTTTTTGATCGAGAATATTAACATATTCCTGGGAATCTTGAAGATCAGGAATTTCAAGAGCTGAACCTTTCACTTCAAGAATGTCAACATCTTCCTGCGAGTCTGTAAGATCAAGAATTTCAATAGCTTCTGAGCCTTTCACTTCAACAATGGCAGCAGATTCCTGTGAGTTTTTCAGCTCAAGATTTTCAGCAGTTTCTTCTGAGTCTTTTAGATCAAGAATATCAACAGCCTGTTGAGAGTCTTCAAGATGAAGAACTTTCACAGTTTCGGAATCGTTTTCATCTTCGGGAATGGCAGACAGAAGAGAATCCTGGGAGGAAGTTCCAAAGTCACGAGAGGCAGACAAATTGCCAGACGTTTCAGTCATGGCGATCGAACTTCGGCGACACAAGGAAGCCTCTGAAATTTCTGCAAACTCGGAGCAAGACTGCATTTCATCAGACACAAAAGTTGGAGAATCAGTCATCACTTCTGCAGGTACAATAGATTCTACGTTGCGAATAGTTTCTTTGCTTTGATTTTCACTTTCTACAAACTCAGTGTCATGACTCGATCTTGCTGCAGAATCAGTTGACAGAAGGAATTCTCGGGCTTTCTCAGATTCCACCGAGTCCATGCAGTCATGTGTGGCTTTGCTTTCTTTTTCACATTCCTCATGGAGGGAGATGGTTTCATCAGCTGGGTATACCGAGCGTTGAACTTGAGAGGATTTTTGAACTTCCTCAGCGGACCTGATCACTTTGTGTTCCTCCGGTTCTTCTGCCTGTTAAACAATTTAAATATAAGCTTAAAATTTATACTTGATCTTATAAACAGAAACACGAGTGAGTGTGTGTGTGAGTGCGCACGTGAGTATGTGTGTCAGAGAAAGAGGGTGCTTGTGAGTGTCTCCGATGTGCACATATTTATTTCTAACATCTTTTTATATTCTTAGTACCTGACATTTTCATCTTTGTAACATATAGCATAAGTAATTATCTCCAGATAATCCTACATACCATTTTTGAAGCGCTGATTGTAAGAATGCCATCTGAAGACATGCACGTGATGGCTGTCATGTCAATGTGCTCTGGCAAGGAGAAGCGGCGTCGGAAGGAGTAGGGAGGACACGGATGAGCTTCCTTCTTCTCTCCTCTCCACACGACCCTCCACCACCACCTCCGTCTCGCCCGCACCTTCACCTTCAGATCCCCGTTCATGAAGTCTTGGACGTCCAACACGATCTATGAAAAATTATGTATATTAAACAATAGCCATAATGCTTACATCTGGATATCATATTCGAATTAATAAATGTTCACATGAGGAATACATGTAAACAGTTGCAGGTAGATTGAAAAAAATATTAGGATTTATTGATCTTCAAAGGCGTTTAAACAAATTGTATTAGTAAGAGTGATTCTTGAACTATTACCTGTGTAACTAGTGTTGTCGGACGTGACGATAAAGACTTGGGTCTCTTCCTTCAATTCTCGGGATCGAAGCTGTCCTGTAGCGGTCCAGGATATCGTTACTACTAAGGCCAAGGAAGTCCTCACTGCTGTGTGTCAACTTCGCTGTCTTTCGCTGACCCACTTCCTCAGGACCTCTCTGATGCAGCGTCGAATTCTTGGCGGACATCGAGGAAGAAGGAGTCCTGGACGAAGCTTCCCCTTCGAACGATGTGGCCAAAGATTTCTCGCCCAGGTTGATGG